GGACGGAATAAGTGACATCACCTTGGTGTCATCCATGATAACCGGATATCGTTCAGGCCGTAAGCAGTCTGACACATTGCACAAAGATTAGACTGCAATAAGGATTGCTACAATGGTGAAATCGTTGTAACGCGGTAATAGCAATTGATTGTGACAAAACATCCAACAAGTACGGCACGCAACATTCCGAAGATAGTCATTGAACAAAACGTCTCTGGTGGTGAGTACATCACAGCGAATTAGATATGTTTGAGGGCCTACATGATAACATTTACCCTTTAAACCTCAAGTGTGCATCATGCACAACATTTGTTGTGTAATGCGTAGGTATGTACATTCTTCAAGGCCGCCTACCGATTGTCCTCAAATCAAGTTGATTGCCTGCGAGATCGCTGGTATGCGAGATATAAAACGGAGACGTTTAGAATGCAACAACCTATATAGTTTGCAACTTTACAGTCCAGCTACAGCTCAACACGGCAATTGCCACCTCAGTTCGGTATAAAATGTTGCATCGAATTTCACACCTTGATCTCTACCCTCTTGCCGTGGCTTACGGTACAATTAGCCCCGGATTACCTTGGTCCGCTCCGCGACTAGCAAGTGCCACCTTCAACACACTTTCCTCACTTGACTGCTAACTAATACTGTCCTCGGACGCACACCTAATGTTTAATTGGACCGAATGCCTATGGTTTGATTCATTAATCGTTGGTCAATGCCGTGGCTGATCGGCATACCTGCCTCAGATCTGCTCTTTCTAACCCGATGCGAAGGTCAGATACCACAAAATCTTTCCAAAACTACAAAGTTTCATGGTCGATACAATCCACAATGTCTATCTCAAAGGTCACCGAAGGGTTGTGTTTGATTTACACACTTCCTCGGCAACCCATGCTTTACCAGCTGGTAGCACCGCCGGTTCTTTACACAGGTCGCACTACAAAGTCCTCCAGTCACATATAAAGCACACAATCACCGATTGTCTCAGCTCATACAGCTATCGCTGTCAATCGGCACCCTGGTCCTTTAACCCGCGCCCTGGTGGGGTCTGTTTATAACGCGACCTGGTGGGGGGGGGGCTATTTTTTGCCCCCCCTCGTATCTCCGAAACTACTGGACGGATCCGAAAAATTCAAACGGCGTTCGAAAGGCCTGTCAAATTTGTTGAGGGAAACCAAATTTTATTGACCTCGGGGTCACCGATGACGTCACAGGTCAGGTCAAAGATGAAATGTTTCACCGTTCACGGGTCTTCTAGGGAATGCGCTATAACACCGAGAAAAACGCATTTTGTCGGGAATCAGCGATAGGGCGTCAGTTGCCTAGTAGATATGTTGCTGTTAGAGGTCACTGGTCATACCAGGTCAGGTCACAGGTCAGGTCACCAAAGGTCACCAAGGGTCACCACATGAACCCAACTTTACTAAGGTTATGCGATGCATGTTTTATGGCCAGTTTTTCATTTCCAACTCAATGGTGTTGGTTATAAGACCATCAGGTACGGTTTAGGTCACTTTCTGGTGGAGGTCAGGTCAAGGTCAGGTCAAAAAAGGTCAAATTTCAAAGTTAATATTTTTGCATAAAATGGGTATTGATTCGATGCAGCTCGTCACGGGGAGTCTAATGGTGGTCTTTGTTTTGCGCTACGAGGTCTAGAATTGCTGAAAATTGAGTTTGAAAATTTGACGTCATCAATTTTGAACAGTTTTTTCGCTATAACTTGGCCAAAAAAAGAGGTATCGATCTCAAATTTGGTATGTAGATAGAAGGCGGTAAGGACTATCACATATATTCCGGTTTTTTTCGAAATTCAAAAAACTTTTTGGATTTTTCGGCTATTATATTCAAAAAATCTATTTTTTGATTTTTGGGGGTCAAAATCCAAAAATTTCAAAAATCCGAGATAGCAGTTTTGTAGCCCTGTTCATTCTACAGCTTTTATGTCTATATCATTTTTCTGTATTTGCAAAGCTATAGGCCTGACAGCTCTTCCCGCGAAACCCTTTTTTGGGTCGAAAACGGCAGAACATGACGTCACTCTGACGTCATTTCCGGCCAACCTATCATAGCCTTTGGAAAAATTTTTGGTCACAATGTGTAAAATTGATGTCCGGGAGGGTACTGAAAGTTTGGTGACGATCGGCGCAGTGGTTCTGGAGATATATCGAAAAGTCTGGAGGGGGGGGCAAAAAATAGCCCCCCCCCCCACCAGGTCGCGGGTTAATAATAGTCTATTCAGGACTCGTCCGGTGACTAGCTTGAGCCGATGAGGGCCTTCATTTCGCCGCATATTTACGTCTGGACAACGAGTTGCGGGGAAAAGTGCTGATTGTATTGCAGTTTTAGGAGTCGGTGATTAGGCTGGATTTTTGGGTTACTTTTTCGTTCCGATTCATGTATTTCATAGTGTTTGGCTTTTGAATATTTTAGTTCTTTCAGATAAATATTACTTGCCTTACAACTTTTGTAAAAACGTTTCATTTTTTATAAGCCGACGTTCAGAGTCCTAAAAATACATCAGCACTACAATCATTGTAAACAAACAAATGGAGCACCACTTGGCTCTGTTCCAAGGCCATTTTTTAGTTTATCTGTTGGTTTTCTTGCTCTTGTACGTCGTTTTGTTGGACGTTTTGAATCCCTGAAGATTGACTTATATCATATTTAAGAAGCATGTTGACTGAAAACAAATCAAAATTGTGTTTCTTTAATGTAAAAAACTGAAGTTTTACCGAAAACAATCTTAAGTATCCAGGAGGCTGACAGAGCTCCTGACTCCTGAGCAATATCAATATCAAGTTGAACAAGTTATGAAATTTTGGTTGATAAACGCAAGTTGATCGGGCTCATATATCAGCAGGAAAAAGTAAAATTAAAAGAGCTTATTGTCCAAAAACAAGCTATAGTATTGCAGACCTTGGAGCAATACTGAAGAGCACGCTGAGCAGGATCATGCCAGAAAATGTTGACTGATGAGCGCATATTGATGTATTGGTATGAATATTGAATGATAACTTACAACAGCAAGATAAATTAGTGCTAACTATCAAGTTTAAATCTAGAATGAATGGACTTGGGCAGTTTTACTATGCTTAGATGCTATGCAGATTGTAATGTGCCAGTGCATCAGTATACTCAGTGTCTGGCAAATGAAACATGCGATCATTCCATTGCTACTGGAGGAGAAAGCTTGGATCACTAAATCCACTTTATGTTGATTTTGATGTTAATCATCATCACTGTATTTCTTGAAAAAAGGATTGTAGTAAAGGATTGTCAAAGAAGGATTGTCAATGTGACAATCCATGCAACGAGGTGATCATATTATGTGTTCATAGTCATTCGTGATAGTCATTATTGGTCCAATATACAATGGCAAAGCTCTCAGTCTCAGCGTTTCTTCCTGTGGATGGCTAGCAGTGACTCAGAGCTTAGAAGTATTAGTTTTCTTTACAGGGCTGGGATAAAAAGTACTGAGGGTAATCTTCCACCAAGGAACTCTACTTTGACGTGGTATGAGATGTAGGCACAAGTAGGTAGGTGCTCAGTTCCTATAGTCAGTATAGTTGTGTATGTTTAGTTGGGTTAGCTGAGATTAGATTGCTAGTTTTTAATTTGCCAAATGTCCATAAAAATGTGACCTGAGCAATGAGCATACCTGAACCTGACTAACCTGACAGCTGACCTAACCTCAATCATCACACATATTAGCAGCCTACCCAAGACCTGCATGGCAGTAGCACCCAGTTATAGGTAGGTACTCACCCTAACTCAATCTTACCTGCTAACCTTCAACTTGCCAAAAGTTAGACTTATAGCTCACATTGCCAAGCTGCATCCAGAGAAACAGTCAACTGAGGAACTGGCTCATTGGGTGGCTGGTGTGAGTCTGTGCATTTAAAGTGTTTCTTCTCTGAAGCTGCTCTGCACTGCTGTATGTCATGTTAGATGCTCAAAAAATGTGGGAAATGATTACTAAGCTACTTTAGTGCTTTGTTAATGCTCGAGACATGAACAAGTACAGATCCTGCAGGGTTCAGCTATGAGTTAGGTACTGAGTATGTTATGTGAATGTGCTGTTCCCTGTTTGACCGTAAGTATACAAACAAGCACAGGGTCACAGTTATATTCAATCTCCACATAAACATACAACAAAAACAGCCATATAGCCTAACTCCGAACACACCACAGATAACTTAAGCCTTTGTAGGCACAAAAATGTTTTGATTAACAGGACAGGTTTACAATATATCCTCTGTCCTTGGGGGATCTTGCTGCCAAGTTGAGGTATGATGACTGAACTTCAGGATTGATCAACCTTTTCTTAGCCACTGCTTATATACGAGAAAGACCAAATGCTTGTTTGTTTTGATTTACAGGACATGTATACAATATATCCTCTGTCCTTGGGGAATCTTGCTGCCAAGTTGAGGTACGATGACTGAACTTCAGGATTGATCAACCTTTTCTTAGCCACTGCTTATAAACGAGAAAGACCAAATTGAAATGCTTGTTTGTAAACTGCGTTGAAAATTTAATGATCCACCTTCAATTCTGACATGAAGGCACAAATGAAATGGTTCCCTCTCCTTTTGGAATACACAAAGCAAAATATTTAATAAATTTTAGTGGATGGACAAGAGCAATTAGCATATCTTTCCATCAAGTTAACTTCTGGCACTGTTGATGAATTACACTGACGCTTATTCGCTTCATATTTTGTAACAAACGCGCTAAAACTGCAACATAACAGCACTATATGCTTCTTGACAAAATGCAATAGTATTAAAAATTTAGCCCTGATTGCATTCATTCTTGGTGACAACGTAATTACAAAATATTTTGTATCAACTATTAAATTCCGGCCGAAAACAGTGCACGGTTTAAAAAAGAATCATTCCAATGACGGTCCATTCTTGCGGTCCTGAAATCGCCACTATTTCCGGCCTCTCCAACGCAACTCGTTGTCCAGACGTAAATATGCCATTTCGCCTTTTCTTAGCCTCTGCTTGTAGTTCCTCCGTAGCCGCACACTTTGAAACGCACGAAGTCTGTGCAGCTCTTTGCCCATTAGCAGCTCACAAAGATGCGATGGCCCAGTGTACTCCAAGAGGCTAGGTTCAAAGCACCATTTCGAACGATTTCATATTCAGACCGTTCGTTTCGCGATTCAGATCACGGGTATTCGGCAGGTGAGGCAGCCGACGGCGGCCATCTTTAGTCTCTGACTGAGTGAGGGCGGCGAGGGCGGCTCGGCGGCCGGCGGCGGCTGCCAGGGCGGCGGCGAGACGGGCGGCTCGGGCGGCGGCGGCGACTCGGCCGGCGCGTCAGAGTCGGAGCCGCCCGTGCCGGCGTCGGTCACCTGCTGCAGACGGGGGACCCAGGTCAGGGTCAGGCTACATCGCTGTCTCACACCCAATCTCGTTTCTGAATCGTAAACCAATAGGGAACTCTTCTACAAAATGGATCTATTGACAAAACGACTCCATTTTGCACTTCTATAACTGGTCACCTCAGCGATGCCCTTATCTCAGGTGACCGACTTCTTGCTGGGACAGAAATTTATCGACCCATGCCCCCGACCTCTCCCGGTTTTTCGACTCACCTCGAGCTGCATCTGCTCCTGCACAACCCCGGTGTCGGTTCGCTCGTCCACCGGCAGCAGCTGGCTGACCTGTCGGACTAGCTCATCGGCCCGGCGCGCCCAGTCGACACTCCTGCCGCGGCCGCCGTGGCAGCCCACACCTACAGAGGGGTCACTCAGTCACAGACGGTCACACAGGCGGACAGCCACCATGCCCGGCGTCACCAATTCACAATATCCATGTCTAACTCACGGGCATTCCCCTCACCGAAAGCTCGGTCTCAATAGCCGGCGAAGAATCCCAGGCCTCTCTAGCCTCGCCCAAACGCTGATCTCCCTAGCCTGTATTTAACCCCCGCCTCCGGTCTCACTAACCTGCGAAGTCCACATAGACGAGTTGTGAGAAGACTAGCGCCAGCGATCCGGCAGGAGGCCACGGCATCTTTTCCAGCAGGACGGGCACCAGTTTGAGCTGCAGGAGGTCGGCCAGGTGCGCCTCGCGCAGACACAGCTGTGACTGCAGGTACTGCTGGCTCAGACAGGCCACAAACACCTGCGAGAACACCAGCCAGCCGGTCAGCTGCGGGAGTTTCTGCCTTCGGGGGCAAGTGAATGCGTCGTTCGCAATTTATTTGTACACAGCGTCGCAAATTCTTCATTTTATGACGTATCGTCTTCTACATATAAAATCTTATCATTATCACCCTGGCTCGCACGGGATTGCTCCAATGCCCATCGGGATTCGTCGCATTCGGTAAGTGCCGTGAGGTCGCGGCTAGTCGACCTAACACAGTCACAGTCCACTGGTCACAGTCGCAGTCTCAGTCATCCTGCTCACCTTGGCGCCGCTGATACCCTGGTAGATTTTCTCGTAGAGCAGGTCGCCCCCGCCCATCTGTCCGACATCCATCCAGCAGCGGAGGCCGGTGCTCTCGAGCCGTCCGCGCAGCCGCACCGCCTCCTCCTGGTGGTCCCACTGGTAGCTGATAAACACTGGCGCTGGGCTCTCCGGCTCTGCGGCGCGGGCAGTGGGCCGGTCAGTGGGTAGCTGGGAAGACGGAATGCATGGAGTTGGATGCACATCCAAAAGGGATAGTCAAAGTATGGTGGAATGTGTATGGTAAGACAGCCATTTCACATTAACGGGCTTTGATCGAAGTCTCCCTCCTCATGGTGAATAAAATGTTTCAATGAGTGTCAGATGGAGTGCTTACTCCAGAAAGGAACTGGCACTCACTGCTCTTTTAGCGGCTAGAAGCCAACCGTATCTACTCACTGGAGACGTTCCTCAGCACGGCGCAGATGTCGTCTCTGGCCAGACTATCCAGCACAGCACAGAGCATGTCCAAGCTGAAGCCGTTGTTGCCCGAGATCTGCATCCAGTCGGTGATGAGCGCTAGGCCCGGGTCCAGACAGTCGTCAAACTCGGATATCTTGTGCTCACGGTATCCTGCCGGTGGAATGCCCTTAAGACAAATTTGAGTGCCGGTAATGGGTACCGGGCTGAAGGAAACGAAGCCTCGACTTTCCGCCGCTAGAAATCGCACCATTTTACAAGGAATTTGCAAGACGAATACGTTGAAACAATACGTTTTAGCGTGTTTTCTCCCATGCAATACATAGTGACCTTAACATACTGATCTTCTCAGCTCCCTGTATTGGACATCCAACAGAATATGTACGATTCCAGCATCCCTGCTAGTGTTCCTCCCAACCCGTCCGCCTCAGAACCCAGCTGACCGATTTTCTTGGCGACTGCCATCCAGTCTGATCCGGGTCCTCCGGCGTTGAGCAGTTTGGCGGCCTGTTTGACCCACTGAGGCGCAGAGGCCGAGCTGAGACTCTCGTGGCGACTTAGGTAGCGGGCGGGAAGCACAGGTGCCAGGCTGACTTCTGAGGGAACATCAGGGCGGGGATCAGCTGGGACTGATTCAGATTCAGATTTAGATTTTATTGGACCCCATTGGGGTGACAGTCTAAAGGTGTGATGAGTATGGGACATGGTTCGGACAACCTGACATGGCCATTTGCGTCACTTGAAGCAAGCAATGCCACGAGTAGCTACTGCCTCATGTAGTTCGTAACGTATTTCACGTTGAACCTTTTGCCACTTCATCAAGAAAGAATGGATATGGCGGTTCTCAATCTGCCACTTTCCTCATCTGCCCCGTCCACTGACCGGTCGTCCGGTCGGGCTGGCGGCGCTCGAAGCAGCGCTTCACGTGCTCCACGGACACCCGTCGGAAGTCGCAGTAGACGGTGTCTCCGGAGAGGCACTGGTTCAGCGGCAGCGTGTGCAGACACTCGGGGGCCGGGCAGTCGGCGCGCCGGTGGACGGTGCACGGACGGCCGCACGGACACTCGACGGTAAACTGCCACTGCAGACGGCGGCACAGTGCCGCGCGCACCTCGGCTAATGTGGAGTCCAGTCGGCGATGTATCTGGAACGGGACAATGGTGAATGCTACAGATATCGTGTCGACGAAAGTCGGTATATATGCTAAAACTGTCTACATGGTATTGCTATTTTGTATTAGCAAGAAACCATGGCGTTCCACGTTATCATTTCAAGCAAAGCCGACCTCCGTGATTCTGTCAAGTGACTGGCCTTCTTGACCAAATTCTATGACTGATATTTGCGACTGCCTTCCGTTAATTAGAGACCACGTCTCGTGACTGACCTGCAGACAGACGTCGGGGCTGGGTCCCCACGTGGGGCCGAGTCCCCGGTGGGTTCGTACTGACCTGGAGACAGGCGTCGGGGCTGGGTCCCCCGGTGGGTCCGCAGTCCGGCAGGGTGGGGTACGACTCCAGTCCGTCCTCCATCAGCACAGATATCCGCGCCACCGTCACCTGCAGGACAACATACGTGTTTTATACGATCAGCCGCCAGCTGACAGCTGACTTTACCAGCGATAGCCGGTTTCATTGAAACTTCCAGCTGCCGCATACACAATGCACGCCAACAGCTCCTCCTAAAGACACTGCTAACCTATCCTAAATCTTCACTGAACTCCATACTGAAATCTTTGGGTACCTACTCGAATATCGGTACGAACGAATTACGATGTTGTCGCTATTCGGACCAAGGACGGGACTGCTGGATCCAATGGTGGGTTTGGTCTCCTCTCACGTGTATTCTGGCCTGGTGCAGCTGTGCCACGGTCAGCAGCAACTATGAACCCTTCACGAAGAGTGGACGGTCGCTCGTTGATGGAGGGTGGATGGCTGCTTAGTGGACGAAGAGAGAACGGTTGTTCAGTGGACAAAGAGCGGACGGTTTCTCGGTGAACGGAGAGAGGACGGTTCCTCAGTGGGCGAAGATAGGACGGTTTCTCAGTTTCCAAAGAGCGGATGGCTGCTCACCTGTATTCTGGCCAGGTGGAGCGGCGCCGCGGTCAGCAGCAGCTCGTGCGAGCCGTCCACGAAGAGCCGCGCCCGGCCGTAGGACACGTGTGGCGCCCGGTGGGAGCTCTCCTGGGTCCAGACGGCCAGCCGTACCACCAGCTGACTCACCAGACTCGCTAGACAGTAGAGGGTGAAGTTAGCATAGTTTGGTACGGCTCATTGTGGTTCGGCCATGCCTCATCGATGAATGATTCTTGAATTCAGTTGATGACGGGAAACTATTCAGTCATAATCGTTTGATGAGGTCATCGATGCAAATTATCGATTAATATAGGACAATCGTGGTGGAGGTCTGCGCTCAGCACTAGAGGTCACATCTCAATTTAAGGTCATTTCTCACCGGTGAGGAAGCCGCAGAAGTCGATGAAGAGGGTCAGCGAGTCAGAGGGTGACCGAGGGGTCTCCTCTGAGCTCCTCGCCTGAGGGGAGATGAGGCTGGGCAGCAGCAGCAGCTCGGGAAGAGGCACGCTCTCCGCCAGGTCTGGGAACAGAGGTCAGAGGTCAGGTGGTAAGTCAGAGTCAGGTCATATCTCGAAGTGATGTGAATATCGGATATTATCCGATGGAAGATAAATTTGCAAAATGGACGTATCAGCTCACAACCGGCCACGTCGGTATCCCACTTCCCAGTGACTAACCGTAGAGTGGCGGCGGCGGCGCCAGCGGGCAGACCAGCCCCAGTCGGCGCAGGACGCCCAATGTGATGGCACTGTTGGTCAACTGGTCCCAGTGTCGACTCAGCAAGGCCGCTTCCACCACCCCCTCGGACTCCAGACGCCGCCAGCCGCTGGGCGCCGACTGTCAGTAACAATGAGTCGGTAAGATCACACCGGATTGTAACAGTGTCGTTCGACTTGATGGTGATGTTAGGGGTCAGGCTGGTCTAGTGGTGGCAACAGTGGGTTAGACGAGGGCTGTCTGCGATGGTTCTTTGGGATGGCTTCCATAAGTCCAGGCTCTTTTGACTAGCTTTTTCCATCTATGAGCCCAGTAGTGACAGGAAATATGCAACAGACGCAACTGATGCAAGATAGTTATATGGGTAATGAGTGGCTCCGACTACATAGTAGCTCCAATTATATATGTTGAACTCATTTACGAATGCTAGTAGTGAAGCGTGCTCACCTGGTAGTATTTCCGTTTGGCGTTGATGACGTCAGCGAAGAGCTGAACGAGCCACTGGGGCGAGAGGAGCACCAGCCGGTGCGGGCCGTCTCCGTGCAGCAGCAGACTGCCCTGGTCGTGGTGGAAGCGCAGGAAGGTCGTCAGCTCCTCACCGGCCACGTCGTGCTCCGCCGCCATCGTCTCCATCTGGGGGAAGGGGCGTGGGGCAGTGAGAGGTATGTCCCGCGCCCCGCTGGGGGGGGGGGCAGAATCTGCCCCCTCCCGTTTTTCGCCAATAAATTCTAAACGCGTTACGCCAGTGACGTCAAACTTTCGATACCTTATCATACATCAATTTGACACGTTCCCTGAAAATTTGAGCGAAATCCGTCGGAAATTTTTTGAGAAATTGACGTTTTAGTGACGTCATGTTCGCCATTTTCGCCTCAAAAACGGCAAAATTTCAAACGCCGCTAACATCTTCATTTTGAAAGGAATCAAGACGTAACAAAAAAGGTTATACGTGATTCTACTTTGTCTATCAAATGGCTATCTCGGTTTTTTGAAAATTTTGGATTTTGGCCCAATTTTTTTTTTCTCAAAAAATTGACTTTTTTGGGAAAATAATTATAAAATCCAAAATTTTGAGTGCATCGAAAAAACCGGAATATATGTCAGAAAGTGGTCTATGTGCACCAACATACCAATTTTTAGAAGAATCGGTTCAAAAATGTTGGAGTTATTCAAAATTGTATGACGTCACGACACACAAAAATTTTGAAAAATGATTTTTTGGAAGTTCTAGACCTCGTACAGAAACAAAAATAGCACCATTCGATTCGCCGTGAAAAACTGCATCAGATAGACACCTTTTTAGGCCTTAACAACCAACTTCAAAATTTGACCTCACTTGACCTGACCTTGACCTGACCTCGACCTGAGATTCATCCAGAGGTGGTCCATATCACTTATTGAGTGTGCCGATTGATTCTATGAGTAAAATGACCCATAAAACATGTGTCGCACATGCCCTTTTCTATATTTTGTTTTTGGTGACCTGACCTGACCTTGACCTTGACCTTTGAATGACATTGTATGCAACGAATATTGTCTTGGTAGTCTAAGAACACGTTTTGGGCAATCAGTCTCAGTCCATTCTTCGGCAACTACGGTGCAAGGCCGATACTGTAGAAACTTGCATTTTGTACCCTTGACCTGACCTTGACCTGACCTCTGACTTACTTAAGCAAAAAAAAATTGGGCTCTTAAGATCCGCCTTGTTGAGAGCTTTCGATTGCCGTTTTCGCCGTCTTTCTACGACTCTCTCTCTCTCTCTCTCTCTCTCTCTCTCTCTCTCTCTCTCTCTCTCTCTCTCTCTCTCTCTCTCTCTCTCTCTCTCTCTCTCTCTCTCTCTCTCTCTCTCTCTCTCTCTCTCTCTCTCTCTTTCACTCTCTCTCTCCCTCTCTCCTTCTCTCCCTCTCCACCCTCTCACCTCTGGCCATGTAGCCACCACCAGCCCGGATCGCACCCTCCTGGCCACCTCCTCTTCGAGCCGCAGCCACCGTACGGGCACCTTCTCACCCATATACGCCTGGCTCAGAGTCAGCTGCCCGAGACAGCCTCTGAGGGCGTTCAGGGCCGCCGCGTCCCCCGATATTGGCACGGTTAACACCTGGCTGTGAACGTGCCGGCCGCTGAGCCGGCCCTCCAGGGCCTGACGGATGAGCTGACGGCTCTGCTGCAGCTGCGGGGAGATGGGAGGAGTTGGCGTCACGGGGAGTGGCAGGCTCTCATAGTGCAAACTGTAATGCGTTCATATCGAAAATTATCATATGAACGCATTACAGTTTGCACTATGAGATGTGGAGGAGAGTGTTGCAACCATGAAATCGTTTATTTGCCCTTCTCCCATACTGCCTAGTTTCACTAAACCGATAAGCCAAGACCCTAAGCAACCTCATTCTCCGTGCAGCAAACGACCAACAACGGATGTTTTGTGTAATTCTCCGTTGCGCCTCCCGTACCCACCTCCGTCTCTGTGGGCGGCGGCCGGTCGTCCTGTGTGCTCCACACACCCACCAGTAGCACGGGCGGCGCCAGGGTGCCCGTGCCGAGCCCCTCGCCAGCTGAGCCCGGTGTGGCAGCTGTGTGCACCAGTTGCAGCCAGTCGAGCAGCTGGTCCAGACGAGTGCGGCCCTCCACCGGAGTCTCGCTAGCCTGTGCAGTGCGCGAACGGCAGTCAGGGGAGGTCAGGTCAGGGTTCGGTGACATTTGTTAACCCTCGCCCGCACAATGGGGGGGGGGGGTGGTTGCCACCCCCCCAGGCAGTCTTTCTGCTCTGCACTCAACATTTTTAGAGCTAGAAGGCTGATTTTTTGTATAGCTGCTCGACTATCCTTTCTTGACGTTCACTGAAAATTTCAAGTTTCTGTGATTTTTGGTTTCGGAGATATGACCTTGTTTTTCAGGTCATGTCATGACCCAAATGGCCAATTCTCAACATCTTGCGTTTGCCATGGGCCTTGTGAGCTTTTGACACCCTGATTTCGGCCTTTTTTGCCAGTCTTACCTCCCACCTATCATGGAACATGTTGTTCGACGATGTACAGGGGTCAAGGTCAGGGTCAAGGTCAACCTAGGTCATCTAAGATAATTGCGTTTTAGGCAAGCTGAATTTACTTTTTGTGAAGTTTTTTGACTGCATTTTTGGTAAAAGCTTCTCAGATCATGATTTTATGTGATATGGACCCAAAAACAATCGGTGCACACATCAGTATACACACAGACACACACAGACATACAAACACATATTTGTTTATTTATTGGCATAGCGTCCACAGGCAAAGCCCCACTTACGGATGCAGTCGCACACTGACAATAACAACCACTCACACACACTGGATGGAAATAAATATGAATGATAACACTGATCAAAATCCAAATAAATTAACAAGATGGCAAGAGCCTAAAAGTAAACCGACAGGCAACAGCCTAAGAATATAGAAGACATGAGCAAAAGCCTAAGAGAATATACAAGTATAGGCACCTGGCTAATGAGCGAGGCTAAAAGTATACTGACATGAGAAATCCCCTAAAAGTAAACAGCACAGGCAATAGCCTGAAATCCTAAAAGAGTGTAGGTATAAGCAAGAATGACAGTGGATGAAATAAAAAGACAAAAAAGACGAAAAATGAGCGTAGACAATGACAATGAGAATAAAACCGGTAACGGCTAGTTGCTACATGAGGAGCTACATCAGTGACCTTAGGCTAAGTATGTTCCCTGGTCGTCAGCAAATTTGGCTATCTCCGACCTTAGCCTGCAGCTAGGCATAAAGAAATCGGCGTCGGGGCTGCTGTGGACAAGCGAGTTCACGTGCTGGGGAAGACGAATCAGAAATCCTCGCTTCACAGTGTCCACTCTTCCGCGCGGCACATGAAAGAGCTCGGGACGGCGCGTGCGACGGCCGGGTGCCGATAGAGAAAACATGGCCAAGATGTCGGGACAGTCCAAGCGACCACTGAACACGGAGCGCATGTAGTTGATGTCACACTGTGTGAATCGTGACCTCACTGATTCGCAGCCGAACAGTTTAAGCAGCGATGCATAGTCGAGTGAAGGGCACCTCGCCTGTGTCCGGGCGCCCAGCCACATGAGAAAACGGTGCTGTAGTCGCTCTAATCGGCGCAGGTGGGTGACAGCGGCACCCGACCAGATAACACAGCCGTATTCCATTACGGAACGCACGTGAGCCTTGTAGGCGGTGAGGGCTGCGACACAGTCGAACTGCGCTCGATGCACCCGTGTCGAGACCTGCATGCTCCTCATCAGCAAGCCCAGCATGCGGTTCGACTTCGAGACTATAGCATCAACATGGTCTGCGAAGTTAAGCTTGCTATCTAAGATGATGCCAAGGTCACGCACGTTAACACACCTCTCGAGCTGGTGACCGTCGAGCGCGTATGAAGCGACATGAGGTGATGAGCGCATAGTGAAGGTGATGGTCTTGCACTTGGCCGGGTTGAGCTTCAGGTGCCAGGTCCTTGACCACCGGCTGAGACGGTCCAAGTCAGCCTGAAGGGCGTGGGCATCCTCAGGAGAGGATACACGGTGAAAAAATTTGACGTCGTCAGCGTATGACAAGCAAGATGACCCGATGTGTTTAGGGAGGTCAGCGACAAAGCAGGTGAAGAGCAGGGGGCCCAAGATGCTGCCCTCCGGCACTCCGGAGATGACCGGAGTCCAGTCAGAGTGTTTTCCATCCAGCACTACACGCTGGGACCGCTGGCTAAGGTAAGACTCAACCCAGCCAAGTGCAAGACCCGATATGTTAAAAGAGTGCTCCAGCTTGTGTAAAAGCAGCTTGTGGCTTACACTGGTAAAAGCTGACGAGTAATCTGTGTAGATAGCGTCCGTTTGCGATCCCTTTGTCAGTGAGGTCCAGCAGTGTTCCAAGAAACAGGTAAGGTTGCTCATGCAAGAGCGTTTTGGAAGAAATCCGTGCTGGGAAGGAGGCAGTGCAGGAAGACATGCACGGAGCAGGTCCTCGCACACTACCTTCTCCAGAATTTTTGAGCAGAGTGATAATAAAGATACCGGTCTGTAGTTAGATGGAAGCTTTTTAGAGCCCTTTTTGAAGACGGGAATGATGTTGGCCCGCTTCCATGACGATGGGAACACTCCGGACCGCACCGACAATCGACATATGATGTCGAGAGGGATCGCAATCTCCTCAGCACACTCGTGAATAATTCGTGCACTGAGGCCGTCAGCGCCGCAGGCCTTGTGAGGGCTGAGCTCACGCAGGAGCTGTGCCACTCGACCACAGGGTACGGTGAACGTGGACAGGCCTGGGGCGTCGAGAACAGGGGCGGCTGGTAAGTCGCCGACGTAGGGCGCGCTGAACTTCTCTGAGAAGCACTGGTTGAAACAGTTAGCTCTAGCAGACGCCTCTGTCACCAGCCTACCAGCATACTCTAAGACAGGAGATACGTGGTTATTTGACTTCAGGGACTTGATAAAAGTCCAATATCGCTTGGGATTATCCTTAAAATCACGGACGAGGCCCAACAAATACGCTCTATATCCGGCATCAGCCTGACGTTTAAACTCAGCTTTGGCTCTAGCATGCTGCTCTACATTCGCAGCGCAGGGGTCCGCCTTCTTACGCCTGTGGGCCCGTTCCTTCTCCCGTAGGAGATCCCTGATAGTGCGATCGAACCATGGTGGGTATTTCTGGCGCAGCTCTATGATAGGCACATAGTCACTAACAGCGGCGAATACGGCATCATAGAAAAACTCTACTGCACCGTTGACGTCCATAGCCTCGAGCACAGTCCAGGGCACCGCGCGCAAGGCGTGACGCAGGCCGGCGAAGTCAGCGCGCTTATAGTTGTAGACCCTGGTTCTGGATGCTCGGGGCGTGGGGCCGGTGTCGATTCTGAGACGCGTCTCGACCACACGATGATCGGAGGCGAACAGCTGGTCCCGCACCTCCGACGTCACAGTGCCTCCTGATGACACCGCCAGGTCGAGGACGTTGACGCCTCTCGTTGCCGCCGTCACCGACTGAACCGCGCCACACTCCGCGAGGGCGTCGATGAAGGTGGTGGCTCGTGCAGTGCGTCTCCTCAGTTCGGCCTCTCTGTCGCCCGACCACTGGATCTCTGGCAGGTTAAAGTCTCCCACCAGGAGGAACGGGCGGCCGGTCCTGTGGAGCCCGCGCAGGAGGTCCGCCACAGCCTCCATCTCTCGGTCAGCGTCTGGAGCGCGGTAACAGGTGGCCAGAAATGCAGAGCGCGTCGTACCCAGCTGCACCACCAGCGCCTCGCAGTCATATATTATACATATAATTGACCTTGACCTAACTTGACCTGAAATGACCTCAGCAGCAAAATTCTGGTCGGGTAGTGTGACTAAGAGGTTCTAGCTGGCTTGGCACCAGAAAACAGCATCGTCATCGGTATTTGATAAGAAGCGCACTTGATATCCAACGGTGACCCAAAACAGCAACATTTTTTAGTTTGACCTGACCTGGAAGGTCAATGACTGACCTGAGAAGGTAAAACTGGGTATCATTGGATTCGTCTCTTCCCAAAGAATCTTTGGTCTTTACTGCTAAGCTCTATCTCCAACAGGAACGAAATGGCGCGGGGGGTGGTGGCAACCACCCCCCCCCCCCCATGTGCGTTCTAGGATGGGAAAATGGCATGTGCGGGCGAGGGTTAATGTCAAGCAGTCCAATGATGACGTTTCGTGAAAAATCAATGCTTGTCCAGGTAAATATAGACAGACATAAACCATGATTAATTTTTGTAACCTCTTCAATGCGTTTTTAATTAACAATTAATCGTAATGGATGGCATTAACAGGCAAGGCCGAACTTAAGTTACTTAGTCTATGCTATAAAGCATTGATTGGATTAGCGTTGATCGTTGCGGCTGCAGTTAAGTGAGCACGTACCCGCATCTGCTGTGTCCCAGGCTTGCAGCCTATTTGTACTCGGCCCTGCACTGACCTATCCCCGTGGCTTTCCGTGACATATCCTGTGTACCATACGTCTCTGACCTGTCCCTGTGCCTCGCCCTGACGGTTCTGACCTCTGTGTCCAGCTTATGCATATTCCTGCGCCCCGCTTTACATCTCTCACCGGATCTCTCTTTGATCTATTCCGTGTCCCGTCCTGACCTATCCCCATACCCCACCCTGACCTGTCCTGATGCCCCAATCCCCATCCTAACTTATCCCTTGCTCTCACCTGACCCTTCGCCCAGGTGGTAATGGTAGCCGGTCCATCCAGCGGCTGAGAGGCATCAAACACCAGCAGGTAGACGCCTCTGTAGCCCAGCAGGGGGAGGAGCACGGCCTCGTACTCCGGGTCGCCGCTCCAGTCCCACACACTCACCGTCACCTGTTAAATGTAGGCATGTCGATGTCACCTGTCAGATACAGCGACTGGCACATTTCAGATACAATGGTTGCCAGTTGCCACCAATCTCACAATGACTGCTAGATAACGGTACAGGGCTGTCAGCTATCCCAATAAGGGCTGAATATGCTTAATTGGGGTGACTACTGCCTTATGCCATAGTGACCGCCAGCCCGCGCATTATAACTACATTAGTTGCAGGGAGCGCGTCCGTCCTTGGTCCGTCCCTTGACAAACGTCAGACACAGACACATCAACCCCTATGACACTCCAACGTTCTTAAGTGACTACTGCTCGTTCTCTATCGTCCCGTTCCGCCTCGTGTTGTCCCATCCCTTCCCTGTCCCGTCCCACCGACCTGCTGTTTCTGTCCCGGTTCGGGCGACTCGTTCCTCTCCTGGCTGTTGTCGGGAGATTCAGCCAGCATCTCCTCCACCAGCCTGACAATCTCCGGGGGCAGCTCCTTCAGTGCACCCTCGTCAGTTACCTGAACACATCAGAAAAAGTCACTTGACTCACTTCCGCTGCCTAGCTGCATCACTCGTTGCGGCCGAGAGTGTGGGCATACTGTACCGCAATACATGCATGTCATGCGGGACAGCCTACGAGTAGTTACAGACATAATGTCTCATGATATGCATTAGCTCCAATTTCGTATAGCCATTCTCGTCCAGTGACCAGACAGTCATTTCAGTATGAAATATTCAAATAGGTAATGAGCGTGCCGGAGTGACTGCTGCGTTATTTATGTGTCATTCTGAGTATCCGCGGGCGTGGCACCTTCTACCAAATCGATAACCTTGCATTAGACACCAGACAGTGACACTGACCTAAGGGACCACGCTAAGGGACATTCAATTAAAAACCAATCGAGCGATGTCCTTTGCTCAGCGGTCTAACTGACCTCGAAATCCTTCCTGGGCATGACCTTGTTGAGGCTGCTGCGGCTGAGGTTGACCCTGAACGTGCTGGAGAAGTGGCGCGACGATGAGCGGCTCTTCCGTTTGGCCATCTCCCGCGACTTTCGGTCCTTGAGCAGCTCTCTGACCACGTTCCGCGCGATGGCCGTCTGGTACTCTTCCTCAATTTCCTCCGGCTCTGAGAGAAGTGGAGGTAGAGACGTGATGTAAAGACGTGATGCGATAACGGGAAGAGGTGATACTAAAAAGTGAAAACGTGACGTTGAGAAATACGACGGTAACTGGCTTGCAACTGGCGACAGACAGTGTGACAGTGACTGACTGTACCTCATGGTCCAAGACAGCTAACCTCCAAGCTAAAGGCAGTGAATGGTCCTCTTCGTCAGATGTCAGCTAATTTCTCTGTGCGCGCGACCGGAAACCTTTCACTGGGATGACGGCGGCCCATGTGAAATTGATTTTGGCTGATGACATAAAAGTGACAGTAACCGATTCCAGACAGCCCCCTCTAACCTCTCTGGGCACTCGACCAGCGCCCGGTGCTGGGCCGGCGGCTGCCCACCGAGGCGCTGTCCGGTTGCCATGCCGACGGGTCGTCCACGGGAAATGTGAACAGATCCGAGCTGTCCAGACCGGCGGTCGGCGGTGGCTGGCTGACGGCAGAGCTGCCCAGCAGCAGGTGACGCAGCGTCGTCTTACCGGCCCTGGCGCAAGGAGGACAGTCGATCTGGGTCTTCATTCCACAGACAGAGTGAAATGAAGGCAGTCGATAGTGGTGCGACACAATAGTTGTACTAAAGACAAGGCTGTGCTGGCTACGATGTCATTGGGACGTTTTGTGGCTATCCAAGGTCGTAGTCGTCGGGTCATTACATTTAGATTACCTCGTTGCGCGGAATATTGCCTCGTTACACGGCATCATACCCATCGTTTGTCGTAAGAAGTGACCCCTTACCCGCAGTTCCCGATGATGAAGAGCCGACTACGGTACACCGGTACAGTGCCGGCCCTGCGCACCTGACGGTACAGGTCCCGCGCCGCCTGACCGCGGGCCAGAATCTCCAGAGGCGTCTCCTCTGGAACGGGTCGCAGGGCATAGGTCACGAACTGTTGGTGCTAGATCCTTGATAGCGCGACAAGATTTGCATCGGTGTGTCCCCTCTGGCAGATGTCACATATAACCTACACTGGCATAATAAACCTATATATCGTACTCCTCCACCAACACTGCTATCGACGTTTTGTTGGAGAGAGGTTACACGACGAATGCTATCCGTCACACGCCTTTGACTGGACCGACCGCACCGTGATCCCCAATGACCCACAATCCGATGGACAGACACGGAATGTTGTATTCCCGATAGGGGCAGACGCACGGTCAAGCGTCTACATTGGACGTTTCCGACCAGTTACCGCGCTGCGTCCCTGAAAACAGATATTGTTTGTGTCCCTGACAGACATGCAGCCTCCGGCAGGGATCCCCTGTCAAACGACCTTGACCGCGCTGTGCTCCTAACAGACAGACAGAAACGGGATGTTGTGCCCCGATCCCCACAGATAGACAGGGGCCAATATATCACACGCCTCTGACCACCGCACTGTGCCCCTGTCCCCTGACAATACAGACATGGCCGTGTCCCTGACAGACAGACCTGCCGTGCCGTGACCCCGACAGACAGACCCACCGTGGTGCCGTGTCAGCCGTAATCCCTCGGCACCACTCAAGGCCCGCGCCACACGTCACTCGACATATTCGCGTCACGCGTCACGCTGCGCGTCATTCGTGTAACCCCTGCTCAGGTTACACCGGCCGCGCCATGTTTTCACGTCACCGTGGTTTTCGCCATCGCATTCACTGAGTCGGACAGCCGACATGCATTACACCAGGTCTGTTCATACAGCCCTTCTTTCCTGAGGAAAGGTACACTCTCTAGTAAGATGGCTGTCAAACTATTCTCAATGCAACACAAATCCGTAGCGTTTTCATCAGTATATGTAATAACTACTACGCCGCACCCGATAACCCTTCCCCAGCATCTCATTATGCCTCCGATAACCTTATTTGGCCCCGGCATCTCACCATCTCCTGTGACCTGACTTGACCCATCATCTCACCATTTCTGGTGACCTGACCCCTGTCTCCATCTCACCACCCCCAGTGACCTGACCCTTGTCTCTCACCACCCCCCGTGACCTGCCCCCATCATCTCACCATCCCCGGTGACCTGGACCGACTGTGTGTTGCCATAGACGTCCACCAGGGCCCAGAGCGGCCTGTCCTCGCCGACGCCGGTGGCCAGCCGGGTGACCTGCTGGTGGTTGACCGAGACGTGTAGAACTCCGTCCAGTGTCAGCCAAAAGTGGATCCTGGGGATGCAGAAGGTGGATGGTGTTAGATGATTAGGGCAGGGGTGAGCGGAGCTGGTTAGACAGATTAGACCGGTAAATTTGCACACGTTACACACGTGAATGCACGTTTTGAACAGCTATTAGTGAGAATTCAGTGAACAGAGGTTCAGCAAATGTTGACTTCCCATACGCTATAAGTCAATTTCGCACTGAACGTTTATGTCTCGTTTAATAATACGTTTCCTGAAAGCTTACGCGACCACTTCCGTTTGTGGCTCCGATAAACGGTGGTCCGATGTAGGACTGACCAAATCAATCAAACGAATCGAACGGCCCCACATTGATGGGATCTTCGATTGGCCAATTAAATCTTTTTACTGGGGACGAAGACAGCCTCCTTGGGGACAGCCGTTGGCACGCCATCAGCTCGCCCTAAGTGGACGCCCGACTCCGCGCGCGACAGGGCAGCTGCTCTGTCCCGTCGCCCGGCCACCAACGACCACACAGTGATCAGGCCACATCTTGTAACACCTCCTGTTTCGTCACTACCCCGTATAACACACCCCGCTTTGTCACCCGTTCCTTTATCTGTCCCGTCTCGCTGAATGAAGGAAATGAGTGAATTTAAGTTTAGGAATGAGTATAGACCTCTTCCTTCATTTTATTTCGTCCCGTTGCTGACCCCGTCCCGTCACCTAAGCCGTCTTCCGTCCCAACTCTATCCCGTCTTATTTCTGTCGAATCACTCGCCCTGTCCCTCCCTGTCTCTCCCTCCCCCGCCCACTCACCTGGCGCCGTCACTGAGGTGCTGTTCGCGGATGGTGCGCACCCAGAACCCGGGCCGCCGGATTAAGTCGGGGAACGAGTAGCGCGGCAGGGAGGTCAGCGTGGCCGGGTCGTGCCAGGTGACCCCCAGTCGCAGCGCGCCGCTCCAGTCGGAGACCTGGCTCACTCTCAGGTGGTACTGCTCACCGCGTGCCATCGGAACCGAGCTGAGGGAGAATTCGGAGTCATCCAAACCAACCGACCGACACGTGCCAAAGGGAACTCATGATAGCGATAGGAATGATTGCCGAAAGTAACTAGAGACAAGATGCGTGATACCTTTATATTTATTTATTTATTTATTTATTTGACATCGTAGGCTCATTCCACAAAAATGGCTATTCCTGAACCAGGGTCGCAATATAAAATGATGGGTGTCGTGGGAAAAACATACGCACGCACGCACACAGACAGACATTCGTTCGCAGTCACTCTCTCACAAACGTGTCGTCATGAAGCATTGCTAACGGTCAGCCGCCTGTTGTCGCAACAAGTGCCGGCGCAACTCTGCCTTGAACGCGCGCAGGTTCAGGTCACACATCGCCGGTGGTAGGCTATTAAAAGCTGTCACGGCGGTAAAGAGGAATCGTCTCCTCCCGGACTCCGATTTGATTCTTGGCACATGTAGCATATCTGTCTGTCTTGTGGCTCGCTGATGTACGTCACGTCTATGCACTATTCTACTCGCGATTGACTCGGGCTGCGCAGTGACCAGCATACGTTTCAATAGGGTCAGCACATGATATGAGTACATGTTACGCGCGGACAGCCATCCCAGGTCACGCAGGACGTCACTAACATGATCAAACTTCCGACGCCCCGATATCACACGGGCTGAGAAATTCAGCAGCTTTTGCAGACGTGCGAGCTGAGTGGTATTGCAGGAGCCGTACACACTGATACAATAGCGGATGAGCGAAATGACTAGACTTTGGACTAGGGTGGTGAGCGTCGAATGTGGTAAAATATGTCTAGAGTGACTCAATCCGATTAAAATACCTGTGCAGCGCCGGACGACATCATCGGTATGGGCGGCAAACGACATACATTGGTCAAATACGACACCCAGATTCCGCACCGCGGGAGAGCCGGGGACAATGGCGCCCATAAAGTTGATGCTGACTGTTGGAAGCTGCCGGAGATTTTGACGAGTGCCGAGAACAATGAGCTGAGTTTTCTGAGCGTTGATTTTCATACCATTTTTGCCAAACCAGTTCGAGAGCAGTGACAAATTTCGTTCCATGGATCCGATCAGGGCGCCAATGTCTCCGGGCCTCCCGCCCACGAGAACCTGAGTGTCGTCCGCGTACTGCACGATGCTCGCGTCATCAACGAATAGCGACATATCATTAGCATAGATGCTGTACAAGAGCGGTCCGAGCGATGTCCCCTGATAGGTGCCGATCGGGTTCGGCAGCGCCGCCGACAGAGTTCGAGAGCCAGAGTGGCTCTCAGCTACCACCTGCTGCTGGTGGTCGGCCAAATAACTCTCAAACCAGCGCGTGTCGACATTGTACAGTTCGAGTTTACGTAAAAGTCCGGCGTGCGGTACGACGTCAAAGCATTTGGACAGATCTAAAAGACACAAAAGTGTGATTTCCTTACGGTCCATAGCCTCAAACACTCGGTCTGTAACATCTAAAAGTGCGGTGTCGGTAGAATGGTTCGTCCTAAAACCGTGCTGACTAGACGAGAATAAATGATGACAGGTGAAATGGTAAAAAGCTGCTCGTAAACGACGCGTTCAGTGATTTTGGCGATGGTGGGAAGGATTGATATGGGGCGGAAGTTGGTTACGTCTGTGGATTTGGGTGATTTCTGGATGGGATGGATCAAGGCTAATTTCCATGAGCTAGGGACGCTGTGACTGGTGATGCTGGAATTGACGATGTGGGTGATGACGGGATAGATGGAGCCAAAACACTGTTTGATAAAACGCATACATAGTCCGTCAGCGCCACACGATGTACTGCTGGCCATCCTACCAACGATACACGACAGTTGTTCCGGTGTAACGGGTGCCACCTGGAAACGGCCGGTGGAAACGCGCGGCAGCCGCACCGCCAGCTCGGGCCCCGCGGAGTCCACCTGTCGGGCCGTGGCGGTCCCAATACTGGCGAAGTACTGGTTAACTGCGTCCGTGTCAGCGTCCGGTGAAGGTTTGGTCGTCCGCTTCCCCGCGATGACCGGCCGGACACTGCGCCACAAGGAGCTCGGCCCGCTCTCCCGCACGCGCCGGTCGATCTCCTCTCGCGTGTCACGGCGGACGGCCGACCTAACCTGCCGGTTCAGTTCCTTATACAAGGCACGATCTGAGGCACGTAGCGCCGCCCGCCGCCGGGCCATTAGGTCCTTTGTGGCTTCCGTCACTGGGGGCGCCGTCGGGTTACGCACTCGGAACCGTCTGGCCGGGGCCAGACTGTCAATAATGGGCATAGTCACCGCGATAAAATAGTCCCACTGCTCGCCCGGGTCAGCACTGCGGTACACAGGGCTCCAGTCCACGGCCCACAGGCGGCGGCACGCCTCGGCGGTGTCCAGTTTGCGCCAGCTCCGTCCTGCCAGAGTGCACCGCTCCGGTCGGCGGCCCGGGGTCGGCACCACCGCACGGCACCAGTTGTGAGGACTGTAGTGACAGTGCAGCGTCCCGGCCCGCTCAACACCACGATTCGTTGCGATCACATCGATGGTGGAGCCTGATGACCGGAACGTAGCACCGTCGATATGCTGGTGCACTGCGTAGGCGGTAAACAGCTCTCGGAGTCTGGTAGCCGTAGCGCTGCCGCCGTCCGCGGTGTTGATATTAATATCGCCGGCTATGACGATCGGTCCGCTGTGGCGAGTGATGTGGTGCTGCAGCTGCTGCTCCAGTATGTCGAGGTCCGCGGTGACACGGACCTGTGTCTGCACCGGCGGCCGGTAGAGGGAGCAGATTACTACCTTCTGCGGGCCCGTGCCGATCTGGACCCACAGCGACTCTAGCCTGGAGTCCGCTGTGACTCGGTCAGGTCCGTCCAGCACGGTGGCCACCATCCCCTCCCTCACCAGAACGGCGACACCGCCGTAGCCCCTGCCGTCAGCTCGGTCTCTCCGCAGCAGCTGGTAGCCGGGAACCGGTAAAAGTCGATCGGGTGTGGCCGGCTTAAGCCACGTCTCACATAATACAATGAGGTCAAAATTGTGCTGCGCGATGTCGTCACGCAGTTCGAGCAGTTTTGGTTTCACCGACTGCACGTTAAGCTGGGCGATGTACAGCTGATCTGGCCGCTCTCCAGCTCTCCAGATCCGCCCGCCCCTGGAGCCGCGCCGCCGGCTGCGCACCCCTCGCCGGGTAGGCCTGGACGGGCCCCTGTCGGCGGCCGGCGGCCTGTCAGGGTCGGCGGCGGTCCCGCGCGGTAACGCCGGTCGCGGGGGAGCAGGGAGAGCCGCTGCCACAGGGCGAGGTCGTTATAGTTAGCACCTACTTGAAAATGTTAGTGGTAAGCTCATGGGGATCAATTGGACCATGGACCTCTGTATACCGGGTATACAGATGTCTATGATTGGGATTGGACGTTGATTAACCCTCGCCCGTAAACGGTGTTTTGCCACCTTCGCCCATGCAGGGCGTTGGTGCGACCCCCCTCCCCCTGGCGTTTGAAAACGGAGCGTTGTAGAGCTTAGCGGAACAGACCAACGGATTGCTCTCAACGAGATCTCGCGATTGGTGGTATATTTTTTTCCTAGGTAAACATTTGACCTACTTATGACCGGTCAAAGGTCAAATTTTCGGAAAAATCTAACTTTTTTCAGATTTCCGCGCCGATTGCGGCAAAACATTAAGAGATATCGACTTGAAACCTTCACTATCGTGATCCTTGATCAATTCTCTATCGTTTGGTGTGTATTTCGATGTCATACCTCTAAAAATGATGCGTTTGGGAGCATCGGAAGTCTGCAAGGTCATTTGTGCATTGGGTCACGTCAGGCGTGTGACGTCACTGACCTGACCCTGACCCAAAATGAACTACAAGAAACACCGGCG